TTGGGACTTAATGACTGCCTCACTTTGACTGAATTATGCCCAACATTACAATACAGCATCTTTCCCTGTTTGCGAGTGAAGCCTGCGTAGGAGCTACTGCCGACTCGCTGCAGGAATGCTACTGAGTACCTGAAGTCCTGAACAAAGATGGGTTGCAGAACATGGCAAGCAGCCAATAACGAGAAGCAGGGAGTGTTAATCCTATATCAAAATGTGAAATACTTAACTTTGGGAGCTAAAAGAAAGATAAAGGTCACATCTATACCAGTTTACCTCTCAAGGAGTCACAATTCTCTAAACTTTTAACACATTACAGTTTTCAGGATTGCTTGGGAGAAGCCATGTGCTTTAAATGTATCATGTGGGTGGTGTTTAAACCAGAGTTCCTGTAACCTAGAGTGTTGTCCCAATACTGATACTGAAGGATACTATACCACCACATTTAAGGTTGTGTTTCACTGCAGAATATCAGCTCTCAATTGCCCTATTTCTGAGGAGTCCCCTCTGATGAAGTTGGTAGGTTTCCTGTTCCTTCTGAGGATGGAGCAGTAAAATGAAGGCAGGAAGCTGAAAGGCTGAGTACCTGGGGAAGAATCGTGGGAGCGAGGTGGAAGGTGGACATGAACTCTACTTCTGGCACAGGTCTAGAGATACTTTGAGTTTCCTAAAGCTCACCTCAATTTCACTCAGGAAATAACTGGGTTTTTTCAGAGGGGTGGAATGGGAGATATTAGAGGGGCACTTGTAGCCCCTCAAATGCATTCATAGCCCATGTTGATACACTTATTAAAAGGGGATGGAAATGGGAGTGTGTTTTGGGGCTGGGAGTTACTCTTCTGTGAGTGGAAAATAGCAATTTTGATCAAATTTTTATCTGAGCTGGATAAGTGTGTGAGGGCTTCAAACACTCACCTTTGAGGCTACAAAGTTCATTTCCAAGCTGGGATTGGATGGACGTCAATGGGATCTCTACATGGAAATAACCCCCTGAGTTCACCCCTAATTGCCTACCTGCCTGCCAAGTTTTGTAACAGCAAGTGCTCAAGAGTCTTACTCTGGCACTGGGTAAGAAATATTTGCCTTAGTGGCTGTTTCCCAAGTTGGTCAAAGGAGAGGGTTTTTGTTTGATGTCTCAGGGCTCCTCCTCTTATGCAAAAGTGCCTGAGTCTAGGTCCTGAGTTCCATGGCATAGTCACCTGAACACAGCAAAAAATAAATAAATAAATAAAAAATTAGGCATGCCCAATGGAAGTCAAGGACAAGACCAGACTTGAACTCTGATGTCAGAGGATGGGGAAGACTGTGGGGTAGCAGCCATGTGTGGAGATAGCCCCAGAAATGCCTGCCTTGTTGGAGACTCCCACAGGAAGGAGACCCCAAGAGCTTAGATCCTCATCATTTGCTTTGCTCAAGATGGCAACGCTGACCCTGCTCCTTGGAAACCTCCTTGGTGTAGGAAGGCACTATGCTGTTACAATCCAACAGGCAAAAAGAGTAGAAGGCTTCCAAGCCCCCAAAGGGCCAACAGCTTCTGTCACAGGGGTTGGAGCTAGAATAACCCTGTAGCTACAGAACAATTAAAAGCCAGCTGTTGCTGTTGCAATTTCTAGCTTGCTGCTCTGAGTGCCCTGGCTTGTATCCAAATCTTACCCTCTGTGGCGGAGCTTCATGCTCCGACACCAGGGTGTGTGTGTGTGGAGAGAAGGTGGGGACGGGGCTTGAGTGCATCCCAGGGGCCTGGCATGCCACCTGTGGGGGTGGGGCACCCAGTGCAGGCAGGGGGGCAGCCGCGATGGCACCCCACCAGGATCGCACTGCTGGGGGCGGTATGCTCCCCCTGCACTCCTCTTCTTCCACCAGTGCTTACCCCTTCCTTGACTTTCATATGTGTCATCTAACTACAGTGGTGCCTCGCAAGACGAAATTAATCCGTTCCACGAGAGTCTTCGTCTAGCGGTTTTTTCGTCTTGCGAAGCAACCCTATTAGCGGCTTAACGGATTAGCGCTATTAGCGGTTTAGCGGCTATTAAAGGCTTAAAGGCTTAGCGGATTAGCTGCTAAAAGGCTATTAAAGGCTATTAAAGGCTTAGCGGATTAGATAAGGGGGGGAAAAGCGAAAAAAAAATCTCAAGACTCGCAAGACATTTTCGTCTTGCGAAGCAAGCCCATAGGGAAATTCGTCCAGCGAAGCAACTCAAAAACGGAAAACCCTTTCGTCTAGCGGGTTTTCTGTCTTGCGGGGCACCACTGTACACAGAGAGGTAATCATTTGTTGACTACAACCACACAATGAGTTGAAAAGGGATATGGAGAAAATGCATATGAAACAATCTCCCTGATTCTCTTTGTATCAGTTTTTTTCCCCCCTTTAAAGAGCATTTTGCACCATGTCCAAAGCTTGCAAAGTGCTTCAGGTGTGACCTGTCCTTTCATAAGCCCATATCACGTCCAAAGTAGCTAGCATCCATATTTGTGAAAGAGACTTTTGAATGATGAGATTTTCCTGAGTTGGAGGATATCAATCATTTGTTGTGAGTCAACCCTGAGTATAAGAAAAATATTCCTATTTGTCTAAAGGAAAAAAGAAGCATTGTACCTCTCTCACCCCAAAATGTGCATGACTCACTTGAGAGCGCTAGATTTCCTACTGATATTGACCTTGAAATGCATCAACTCTCATTTCACCATGCTCTAGCCATTTCAGCTCGCAAATAAAAGACATCTTAGTATTAAAGGCCTCAAGAAACAAAATGTATTAACTAGATCACTTTAATGCTGCCTTAGTAAAGTTGTAACCTCTGTGATCCCCATTATAGAAGAGAATGTATTCTACTTGGTCTTGAATGTACATGGGCAAAACACTTATATCCCAACTATTTCTATGCTATTGAATTGCTACATTACTTGCTGTGTGTTAGGAAAACAGCTTACTTTGTTAAGTCTGACATGCTTTGAGTATGAATGCAAACATTCTACAGGACAATACTCTTTACGTCATTCTTGCATAAGCCATCTTGTGCTTTCTTAGACTAAGCAAAGAAAAATTGTATCAGGAAAGTTGTCCCCCAAGAAGGGCTTTCATTTCATATCTGCTATCAAATGTCTTTACAATGCTACAACAATTCATTTTCTCAGTATTATTATTCCTTTTAAATCAAGGCTGGGAGACCTGTGGTCCTCCAGATGTTGTTGGATTCCACAACTGCAACCAGCATGGCAAATGGCTAGGGATGGTGGGAGTTGGAGTCCAACAATATCTGGAGAAGTACAGGTTTCTCATTCCTATTCTGGTAGTTCCAAATTAGTAAGGCTACAATCCTGTACCCACATAACTGGGAGTAACCCCAACCAAACTCAATGGGACTTACCTCTGAGCAGAAATTTATGGGATAGTGCTTTATAGTAGTTCTAAATTACTCCGTTCCTTGTTTTTGATCAACTCTTAACTTCCCTTCCTGTGAAGTTAAACCCATGAATCCAGACTATAGAGTCTGTAGTATTCTTTCAATAGTTATATAAGCAAGACAGGACTGTCTCACGCAAAAGTTATGGTGAATTTGTTATTGTATCTCACATCTGTATAAATGTATTTATTTATTTATTACATTTATATTCCCTCTTTCTTCCAAAGAGATTATGGTGGCTTCTTCCCCTCTTTATTTTCTCCTCACAACAACCCTGTGAGGCAGGTAGGCTGACAGATACCTTGGCCCAAGGTTCAGCACTCCAACCATTTCAACACACTGGCTCCTTAATTAAATTGCCCACTTATATAACAAATGGCACAAGAAGGATTTATATAAGTACACAATTTAAAGTTAGGAAACTGACCTGTGCAAAAAAACGCTTAAATTCTGAGTTTCTAAAATAATTTGATGCAATTTGATGCAATCCAGCCAAAAGATAAATATTTTTGAGTCCCGTTAATTTCAGTTAGAGTCTCCTGTTAAAATATATCAAAGTTCTAAGTCCTTAATTATAACAGGGTTGAATTTTACACCAGAACTCTGGAACACTAGAATTCACGGATATACGATGAAGCTGATTGATGGAAAATTCAGGACAGACAGAATAAAGTTATTCTATGCATAGCGTATAGTTAAAGTATGGATTCTGCTCCCACAAGAGGTACCCCGCTACTTGGATTGCATATCAGCTTTTTGCGCAGATAGTGGGTAATAGGTTGCTAAAATATCTGTGGGATAAAACTTGTATTTTAGAATATTCTTTTGGGTCTCATATGTCAACTTTCCCTGCCTCCATAGACCAACATGTTTTTAAAAAGGCTTAATATTTTCATTGGCTCCTATGCTCCAGTGAAGATGACAGACTTTGTGGGAGGAACATCTTAACGCTTTAAGAAAACAGACTGAATTCTGCAGAGAGATGATTTCTACATCACTCCAAGTTCCCCTGTTTATTTTTTGTCAATGGCATTTTTAAAAAAGTTTGTGGTGGCATAGTTGTTAAATAAATACATGTCTCTCTCCTCCAATAGGAATTGGTTGTGTTACCATTTAAAATCCAATGCACAGAACCTTTAATCCTTCATGTATCACTTAGTGTAAGAGTCTGCATGTCAACAAGATTTATCTCTTAATACACACTTAGACAATAGGTGTTCTTTTGATTAATCTTGTGGCTAATTGTGTACTGAATGTACAGCTGCAAATTCCATCCAATTATTTTCTCAAGGATAATGACTAAATATACAGTACTTACAGATAACTGCACCTTTTAAATAATGCCTCAGCTTAAGCTCATAAATAATAGTTTACTCTGGTAATGGCACTGAAATCTATGGTGCTGATATACTGATCCTCTTAGTCAACAGAGAATTCTGTGCCGGCTGCTACACACAGTGTTCTCTTCCACTGAACACACAATTACTTCATTGATTGACAGTACTTGTCATCTGTTGGGACACAGGGAGTGGAATGCTCAGCTTTCATCCATTCAAACAGGTGATGAACAAAGATACAACATCAGTCATCTGCTTGGGCAGTGTACACATGATGCAAGAGTACAACCCTACTGACACGTGATGTGAGCTTTTTCTGCACGCACAAAGGAAAATCAAGAAGGAGAAGACATGTGCAGAAATGTGACCCATCATAACTTACTGTTCAGAAATTACCAAAGATCTGAGGTAAGAAGCTAGCCTTTAAAACCTCATATGAAGGATAAGAACTTAAGGACAGTTCAAATGGTCCATGTGATCAAGCATCCTACTTCTCATTGTCAAAGCCAACAAGCGGGACAGCAAGGCAATAGCTATCTCCTGATTATATACTCTCCAGCAACGGGTACTTTTACCCATTTTACATTTGATGAAATTGTTTTATAGTATTTAGAATCTGTATGGATGATTTTATCATTTTAGAGTTTGTTAAATTGGTTTTAATCAACCTTAGAGCTTGCGCTTCTATGTTTTATTCTGTTTGATATGTAAACTACTTCAATGGCTTTAAGTTATGAAAAGGTTTGAACGTTTGTTTATTATTCTTATGATTATGAAGAAGATCCTGAAGAAATATCCTACCCCCAATAACAAAAATAATTTTTTGAGAATTCTTATCAAATTCTTTTTTTGGCATCAGGGGATACAATTGCAGCTGCATCCATTCTTTGAATCCAAGGGTGATTTGGATTTTTCTTTGAAAGAAAACCACAGATACAAATAAAAGGAAAAACTTTGGGCCCGTGTGCATCTCTAGCATTTACTATAATATGAAAGGGCAAAAGAAATAATCAAGGTTTTTTATTTGCTTCCCAATCAGTTTTATACCACTAATTTTACTATTTCTTAATTATTCTCTTTCCCTACTATTGGTAATATTATTGCCTTTCTTCAAACATATATACCAACAAGAAATCATTTTTTGTATTTATGAATAACTGCCTGCAAGAAAATGTCTTTGTATATATTCTGCTACATTCCTGAGCTGCCTTGTGGGACATCTTTGGGAGAAGAAAAGGTTAAGGAGTAAACCCTACACAAATCCAGAGTAGAATCCACAGTGGATGGTGCCCTTGCACCTCCTTCTGGCAACTCCTGCAGCCAACATGGTGCCAAATGTATTGCTCTGCTTTCCTTTGGATCACATCACTGAGGCCGAGAGGGGGTTCTTGCCATCTGGGCAGCCCAGGACCTCCAAATACATTGCCCAGACTTGCGCCCCAGAGAGGACTCTACACAGCTTGACTTCATCCCCAAAGATGCACTTCATTTTCTCTTGAGACAGATGGATGCCAACAGCAGCAATCTGAGCTCAAGTTATAACCTTAAGCAAAGCAGTGAGAAACTCTTGAGAGGAAAGAATGAAGAACCCAGTGGATTATGTACCTATCAGACCTTTGTTACAAATATACATTCCCAGGAAATGAGTTCGCCATACAGCAGCATTCAAGCTATCAAAACATCAACAGAAGAGAGAGTGAATGAAATATTCAATGGCTTTCCTCAATAAGAAAGGTAATAAAGAAAGCTATTGCTGGCAGCCACCCATTTGAAAAGGTAATATGGCTGTTTGCAAGCTGAGCAGTGCTTTTTTCTCCCTTCATTGAGCAAAGTTCCCTGCCGTTGAGTAACTGAACTTAATTTCTCAACGTCAACATCTCTGCTAATCCCACACCCGCTTTCAAAGCCAGCTCTGTTTAGCTTTACGTGGAACGAGCTGAATGTTTTACTTTCAAAGCAATAGGTGAAACAGGAAGATTTCTCTCATGCTTCTCTACCTCAAAAGGGAAAATTACAAAATGACTATTCTGCTACTTAAGTGGGAAATTGGCCTTTTATGTTCATCAATCCAACTTGCATACATAAAGCAGGAGTGAATGGTATATTTTCAAACTGCTTTACTTTTACCTTTGCTCTATACACAAGTTCCAAGACTTTTTTAAATATACACTCACTAATCCCCTTGACTCCTGCAATCTTTTTTATCTCTGCCTACTAGTAATTTTGCCTCAACAAAGCTGTTCAACTTGGTCATTTTAAGTGATCCTCAATGAGACACTGACTATTCCCCCCATTTATTTTATTTATGTCCTTATTACGGTTCTATCCAGTGCTGGCTTTGCCTTTTCAGAAATCGCTTTCACTCATAAAACTTTGGCCTCAAATTGTTGCTGCCATACCTCCTCACTTAAACCCTTTGTCTTCTCAGCCATTCCTGAGAATCACTGACTAAAATGTGGTGCCCCAATTTATGTTAACAGAACTCTTTTGCATGAAGCAAATTCACCACTAGAAATACCAGCATCTCCATGACAAGGCACCCTTAACAAACAACAGTTCCTAGAATTATTTGGAAGAAGCCATGACTGTTTCAAGTGGTATAGTGCTTTAAATGTATGGTGTGAATATGGCCTTAGAGAGTTCATGAGAGAGGCAATATATGAACCAGGAACTTCCTGATTCATAGCTCTGTTCTATGATACACCATCTCATAACAACAATGCACCAATTTAGGCAAAACTATGTAGTGCAATGGTCTCTAGACACAAAGATTATTCTTCAAACATCTTTATCCATCACAGAGTATCTTGGGATAGGCAGTCAGTATACCCCAAGAACCATTTCTCTCCACAGAAACTAAGCCCATTCATCACCTGAGGCCCTTCTCTGCAAGCCCCCATGGAAGGAGTTTCAGAGGGTGATGACATCAAGGCCTTTTCAACGGTGGCTCCCCACTCATGGAATTATCTCTTCAAGCAGGCACATCTGGAATCATCACTATCTTCGTTTAGGTGTCAGGCAAAAACATTTCTTTCTACTGAGGCTTTCAACATTTAATTTGGAGAGCTTTAGATATTTGTGGTCTCTTTTCAGTGGGTGGACTGTGTTAGATGTATTTTTTTCATTTTGTTTTAGTTTTACACTTGTTTTAATCTTTGTAGTATTTTGTAAGTTGCTTTGGGTTACCTTTTGTTAGAAAAAAGACTAATAACTGCAATAAACGATCATAGTCAAGGTTGGGGATGATCTATAAAAAGGTTTACTTGGGCTCCAGACCTTGTCAGCTTGGAGCTGTTCAAGGTCCCATACTGTTGCTCTGGTCTGACACTACCTGCTCTTTTGATTGAGTGGTTGATTTACAGCTGCTGCTATTTTGCACCTCTCTCCCATATTGGAAGGTCCAACTCCTGATCCACTTAGAAGAGATGGATTAGATTAGGAATGAGGAACCTATGGGCCTGCAGATGTTCTTGGACTTCAGTTCCCATCATCCCTGCTCAACTGGCCATGCCAGTTGGAGTTGATGGGCATCTCAGACAACATCAGGAGGGTCTCAGATTCTATATCTCTGGATTAATTGATCCAGAATATGTAATATGATGATGCATCGAGATCCCACCACGAACATGGTAACAATATGAAAGGCACATTACAAAACCTCTAACTATAGTGCTAGCAGAACCATAAGTTTAGGGTTAGTGGAATGTTCAGTGTAAAATGTTCATCTTAAGGAAATGGATTCTAAATCCAAATTAATTTTAGTTTATCGTAACAAATTCTTTCCAGCTTCACACCTGAAGCAGATGGAAGGCGACTGTTTCAGTAAATCAGTCCCTTCAAATTACTGTGGTTTATGAAGCTCATCTGCATTTTAATCAGACATAAAGGGTTTATTCTTGGAAAACCTCAAGAATGCCAGTTTTTGCCACCTGGAAATACATGGGAGAATTCATAGTAAATCAAATAAAATATGTTGCACATTTTAATTTTGCATATATTTCTCTCTTGAGACTACAGTGTTACATAGTTACAGGTATCAATATTTTTTACTAGCAATGATATATTAGAACTCAGATAAGAAGCTGATTTTCTGCCATAAGCCCATTTAATTGGAGATTTAGGACTTTTTCAACAGTGTTACAAAAGTGCAATAATTTTAAAAATCCAAATGTAGTTGTGACACCTTCAAACAACTTCTATAATCTGAGTGTGGATCAACCAGTTCCCACTTAGAGAGAGAACTAAAATGAGTGAATTTGTGGGTATCCATTATGTGCTATGAAAGCCCCTTGTAAGTGCACAGAATTCCTTGTGCTTTTGGAGGGAAGAAGAACCTTGTCAATCAACTAATTTAAGCTCTGAAAAGAAAATAGTAGGAGTAGCAAACATGAAATGCCATACTGTGGTTCCCATTAGCGCCAGTCAGCATGGCAAATGGCAAGGGATGATGAGAGTTTTCCAACACCTGAAGGACAGCACATTGGCTAGCTTGCAATACAGACTCTGATCCAGATGCTGAAGTGTCCAGCTCCCAAAACTAAGTATTCCATGTATCCTTTTCCTCAGTTTTATTTGTTGCTTCAAACAGTTCCTTACAACCAAGTGCCATCTGAATATTAGGCATTATACACTCTTCACAACCATATTTCAGATATCTTTCCATCATATAACTGCATCATCATCAACTTTTCTGATTTGCTGTTCAGGTCACATGGAATCAGTTGGATAACTTCATTCTCTTTCCACCCATCTGACAAATAATTTCCCAAAGATGAAAAATGTGTGTACTTGCCTATAATATTTTTTTCAAAAGCTACCATACTCCTTGACCACATGCATTTAGTTTTCAGAATATATCACTGTTTTAATACTTTAGTTTACTGTTATTTCATTTAATTATCATAACATACCCTAATTGTTCGTGTTGGCTGGTGTTTATTTAATATCTTACTTTTTTGCTCTTGCTGTTTTCAACCATGGTGGTAGAGCTGAAACTCCATACCAGTATTGCATTTAGGATTCCAAGCCTCCACAGTTTTCTTGAAGTCTGGAGAGAAAGAAAAAATCATAATATATACCTCTTCAACTTATTACCACTAGTACTATTTCATTTATTATGAGTTGGATCCAACACTGCCCGTCTACGATCAATATGAGTTCACTGCAGACTTTCATGAATGAAAGTAGGGTGGGGACCATTTTTAGCCAAGCAAACTCCCATGTTGTTTCACAGCATCCTCCAACCCTCTAGAGCAGCTGGGCCAGCCCTATCATTAAGCAGAGATGGATGCAGCAAAGTGATGAGAGGCACCAGCTTGGGAACCCCCAAGGCAACCCCTAGGGGAAGAAGGCTCAGAGCCGGTGGATTGGTTGTGGGACTACAATGAGTAGTCAGAGGCAGAAGATTGGGAGGAGGATGTGTCAGAAGGTGAAGAGGCAACAGGATGTAGTGAGCAGGAAGAGACTGTGGAAGAGCACAGTTCTGACTCAGAGGCAGAATAGGGGGATCAAAGGGGTGAGTCAAAGCAGGCTGCTGAAGACACCAGGGAATCCCCCTCTCCTGCTGTGACCAGCTCCCATCCCCCCTGGTCTCCCAGAACATAGAGACAAGTAAAAAGGACAGAACAAAGAGAGGCAAGACAAAGGAGCCTTAGGCTGCTGGTGAATAATAATAGTACAGTGGTACCTCGGGATGCGAACGGGATCCGTTCCGGAGCTCCGTTCGCATCCCGAATGGAACGCAAGACACAACGGCACATCTGCGCGTGCACGGGTCGTGTTTTGCCGCTACCGTGCATGCGTGCAACATAATTTTGAGAGTCTGCGCATGCGCGAGCGGCAAAACCCGGAAGTAACACGCTCCGTTACTTCCGGGTTGCCATGGAGCGCAACTTGAACGCGCTCAACCCGAAACGCATTCAACTCGACGTATGACTAATAAACATCATAAATAAACCTTTATTGTCGCTACACCACCTGTGTGCAGTGAAATTAAATGCCCCCCATATACACTCAGTCTTGTTCACACTCTGTGTGCTTGTCAGAAGTCAATTACACCACTATTATTATTATTTTTCCATTCAGCAGCCCAATAGCCCACAGATAAAAACGGTTCTTTAACCTGTTGGTGTGGCTGACTATACTTCTGTATCTCCTGCCCGAAGGTAGGAGATTAAAGAAGTGCTGGCCAGGGTGTGAGTCGTCCCTAAGAATTTTCCTCGCTCTCCTGAAGCAGCTGTCTCCCGCAATGTCATCTAGCGAACTCTGAGGACAGCCCATGATGTCATGTGCTGTATTTGCCACCCTCTGTAGGGACTTCCTGTCTGTGGCTGTCAAACCAGCATAGCACACTGTTATACAGTATGAAAGGACACTTTCTATTGTGGCCCTGTAGAAGGAGATCATCAATTTTTGTTTGACATTATTCTTTCGCAAGGCCCTGAGGAAATGGAGTCTCTGTTGGGCCTTCCTAACCACCTGAGTTGTATTGATTTTCGAAGTGAGGTCTTCACTAAGGTAAACTCCCAGAAATTTAAAGGAAGAGACTCTCTCCACACACACACCCCTGATATACAACGGGGCTAGTTCCTCTCTCTACCTCCAAAAGTCCAACACCATCTCCTTTGTCTTGCTGATATTTAGGTTCAAGTTGTTCTCTAGGCTCCATGTGAAGACTTTTTGAACCTCCTCCCTGTACGCTGATTCATCTCCACCTGTAATTAGACCCATTATGGTGATATCATCTGTAAATGTAATAATTGTGGTGGATGGATCAGGTGAAATGCAGTCATATGTATACAACGA